TGCTGAGGGAGTGGGCACTGTCGGAGGGTCAGTGCTGAGGGAGCACCGCACTGTTGGAGGGTCAGTGCTGAGGGAGCACCGCACTGTTGGAGGGTCAGTGCTGAGGGAGTGGGCACTGTTGGAGAGTCAGTGCTGAGGGAGTGCCGCACTGTCGGAGGGTCAGTACTGAATGAATGAAGCTGCATGATGCTGAGCCCTGCTTCCAAAGAAATGTGTTTGATAATGATGTTCTGTTAACTGAAGATTAAATTGAACTTACTCAATATTGTGCAATTTTTTGAAAGTATTGCTGTAATCTTGATCTGAAATTGCCTGTGACCTGGGTCTTCTCAGATCTACGAGTATGCTTACCCAGACGTGGCCATTGCGTATGGTGATTTTGAGAATCGGATCGAGTGGTCAGGAAGCAAGGAAACGTCTGACATACAGGAAGCTACAATCACGGTCCACAATGTCAGCTTCTCAGATGCTGGCACTTACCGGTGCTTCTTCAACCGCACCTTCAGCTACAGGAATGGCGAGTTTATATTCTTCACCCAAACAAACAAGACCATCGAACTGGATGTCGTGGCCAAAGGTACTCATTCTGTGTCTTAACAGCTTAGATGTAATAGGACACATGAGGAATGTCATAATTTTAGCAGAAGGATTCCTGTAGGTCAAACTGTTCTTTAGATACAGAGATAATCCCACTTCCTCAAGGAGAAGGGAATGAAGGGCAGGACTGAGCTCTTTAGCCCGCTGGAGGAGAAAAGGAATTGGATCAACTGCAATCTAGAGACCCTCCAGTGGTCCCGGTATCACAGATACCAGTCTTCACTCCATGTGATTTCAACAAACAGTTGGAGACACATGATACTGCAAAGGCTACGGGTCCTGACAACATTCTGGCAATAGTACTGAAGACTTCTGCCCCAGAACTAGCTGCTCCCCTAGCCAAGCTGTTCCAGTACTGTTATAACACTGGCATCTACTCGACAATGCGAAAAATTGCCCAAGTATGTCCTGTACATAAAAAGCAGGACAAATCCAACCCGGCCAATTACCGCCCCATCAGTCTACTCTCGATCATCAGGAAATTGATGGAAGGTGTCAGTAACAGTGCTATCAAGCAGCACCTGCTCAGCAATAACCTGCTCAGTTTGTGCCCAGTTTGGGTTCCGCCAGAGCCACTCAGCTCCTGATCTCATTACAGCCTGGAATGCTGATCCAGAACCAGGTGCAGCAAGGCCAGTGTTTTGACATTTGGAAGGAGAGCAACAAACTGGGATCTATCGTCGCCACACCTTACCATACATTGTAACTGACTTCCAACAACTTATCTCGCCCCTAGAGCATTAGACCCTGGCACCCAACCCCCTCACCCCAATACATACCCTGATTGTAACCCCTGACCTCAAGAGACTAAATTCCTGACCTTCAAACAACTTCGGTAGCCCCAACATCCTACCCTGCCAGAGCCTGGGCCTCAGCTATTCACCCTCTGTATCCCAGATGTAGGAGTGGAAGGAAATATTCCCAGGTTTGCAGATGGCTCAGTGGGAATGGGAGCCAAGTGGAGAATGCCAAGACACATCATGTGGTTATTGAGAGGCTAAGTAAGTGGAGAAGGATTTGGCAGATGGGAACACCATGTGGAGAACTGTCAGCTTCTCCACATTGACCAGAGAAACAGAGACTGAGAGAATTTCTTCAACAGTGAGAGGCTGGGAAGTGTCGATCTGTGTTTGTGAGTCAGAGTTTTCGAGTCATACAGTATGGAAACAGACGCTTTGATCCAATTCTTCCATTCTGACCAGACATCCCAATCTGACCTAGACCCATTTGCCAGTATTTGGCCCATATTCCCCTGAACCTTCCTATCCATGTCCCCATCCAGATGCCTTTTAAATGTTGTAATTGTACCAGCCTCCACCACTTTCTTTTGCTGCTTGTTCCATACATGTACCACCCACTGCGTGAATAGTTTGTCCCTCAGGTCCTTTTAAATCCTTCCCCTCCCACCTTAAGCCTTTGCCACCTACTTTTGGACTCCATCACCCTGGGAAAAAACCCTTAGTTACTCACCCTATCTATACCCCTCATGATTTTATACACCTATGTAAGGTGCATCCAATGCTCCAGAAGAAGAAAGTCCCAGCCTATTCAACCTCTCATTATAAGTCAAACCCTCCATTCCCAGCAAAATCCTTGTAAATATTTCCTGCACCTTCTCAAATTTAACAACATCCTTCCTGTAGAAAGGTGGCCATTTTAAAGTGGCCTCACCAATGTCCTGTACAGCTGCAACATGACATCCCAACTCCGATACTCACTGAATCTTTGGCAAACAATTCAGAAGGCAAATGGTATGTTGGTCTTTATCACTGAGGAATTTAAGTCCTAGAGTAACAGCACTCTAGGGGACAGTATTCCAAAGATTCCCTATCCTCTGGACACTGTGTCCCCCGATTTTAGAAGTGCAGTGGACGTTCACCAGATAAATCCCTGGGATAGCAGATTGTCTGATGAGGAAAGTTGAGCAGGCTGAGTCTTCAGAATTTTTGAAGAATGAGAGGTGATCTCATTGAAATTTCAAGCTCTTACTGGCTGTGACTGGGTCTGTGCCTGTCAATGCCCCCTGGTCTGGGGAGGGAGTTGGGCAGTGAGGGGAAATTCTAAAATCGGGGGACACAGTGTCCAGAGATTAGGGAATCTTTGGAATACTGTCCCCTAGAGTGCTGTGGACACTCGACATAACAACATCAAAGAGAGGCAGGGTCAGATCTAACCCGGCCAGTTACCACCCCATCAGTCTACTCTCGATCATCAGTAAAATGATGGAAGGTGTCATCAACAGTGCTATCAAGCAGAACCTGCTCAGCAATAACCTGATCCTCGTGATTGGCCGACCAGTCTCGACTGATTAAATACTCCTGCTTGTGCATTTTGTGTTCTTATGTAACATGTTCTTCAGTTTGATCCCCAAAACGCCAACCCTAACCCTAACTTTCTGTAATTCTAACCCCCAAGCCCTGATTTAAACCCCAGAGTCTTGCCCTGACCTCCAATTAAGTCACCTCCTGACTCCCCTCCAAAGCTTGTCCACCATCCAAGTCAGGAGTGTGAGGGAGTACTCCCCACTTGCCTGGATAGGTGCAGCTCCAACAACACTCAAGGAGCTTGGCACCATTCAGGACACTTGATTGGAACCACAATTACAAGCATACACTCCCTCCACCACTGATGCTCAGTAGGAGTAGTGTGTACCATCTATAAGGTGCATTGCAGAAGGTCATCAAGTCTCCTTAGACAGCAAATCCATGACCACTTCCATCTAGAAAGGCAAGGGCAGCAGATATATGGGAACACTATCCCCTGTAAGTTCCTCTCCAAGCCACTCACTATCCTGACTTGGAAATATATCGCTGTTCCTTCAGTGTCGCTGTGCCAAAATCTTGGAATTCCCTCCCTAAGGGCATTGGACTGCAGCACATGGACTACAGAGGTTCAAGAAACTCACCAGTACCAACTCAAGGGGCAGTAAGTGCTGGCCTAGCCAGTGATGTTCACATCTCAAAAATAAATCATTGAAAAGAAATCACCTCACTCATCCTAAACCTGAGTTGGTTATCTCTGAACGTATATCTGCTGCTTGTTTCCAACATTGGACAAAAGTGGAATTCATTGAGAAGAGACTCTGCTCCAGCCATTTGCTGTTTAGTAGAACCTGTAATTCTATCCACAGAATTTGATGCCAGCCATCGCTGCAACACTCAAATTTTCACAGGCCCCTTTCGACCAACAGCCCTTTTACGTATTTGACATCATAGTTTCCATGGTGTTTCTCTTCAGCACCTGAGTAAAATTTACTGGCACTGCTCCAAAGTCAGGTATAAATTGAATTGAGTGCCAGTTGAATTTGGAGTAACCTTTTACGTTTTACGTTGTCTCAAAGATTATTTGGTCCAAAGACAGTTTGCCCTCAGAACTGGGCAAGCAGATTAGAATTATATTTAGTTATCATAAATACTGCACTAGTTCGGTGAGGAGTTTATTGTTGTGTGATACAAGTTAATATCAGTGTAAAGTTAATTTGCAAGCTGTTGTAAGTGTGTTTGTAGATGGGCATCGACAAGATCATCATACTTAGCTTCCATTTGCTAGACAGACAGTGATGCGACCTGGCCCCTTTTCCTGTGACATCATCAGGTCTATGGAAATCTTATTCTTTATTCTACATCTCCTTCCAAGTATTTATCCTGTCCCTGAATGTTCACCCCTTCTCACATGTTTAGGCTTTTCTGTCTACATTTTCTCATCATAGGCCTATCTATGCCTCAATCTAGTGGTTACATGTTTCCCATTCCCTCCCCTATATTATGTGATGTTGGGATTTGGTGAAAAGCCATTCACGGTGGTTAGACCGGTTATCCTGACTGTGTTCCCAGTTTTGTCAAAGGAGGCATCCAGGTTGCTGATCTCCTACAAAGGTAGGGATTTGAATATGAACCTCTAGTCAAGTGGTCTGATTTGGTGCAGTCCCCTGAAGGCCTCTCAGGCTGGGTACCAGCTAGTTGGAGACAGTAAGGACTGCAGACGGTGGAAGACAGGGTCTGTAGGTGCAAGGCTGGAAAAGCACAGTAGGTCAGAAAGCATCTGAGGAGCAGAAAAGTCAACATTTCAGGCCGAAATTCTTCGTCAGGACAGGGGAGGGGTAGGGAAGCCCAGAAATAAATAGAGGGAGGGGATGGGGTGGGAGGAAGGGTAGGAGAGATGGTGATAGGTGGATGCATGTAGGGGGTTATTGTGATTGGTCCGTGGGAAGGATGGAGTGAATAGGTAAGCAGGAGGATGGACAAATTAGGTCAGGACAGGAGTGGGAGAGCTGGACATTATCCCAGGTCTGACCTGCTGTGCTTTTCCATCCTCACACCTGTAGGCTCTAGCTTCCAGCTAGCATTCAGAGCACTGTGTGGCTCTTTTACAGAGGGTATGGTCCTGAATCTTTGGTGATCTCCAGGACTGAGATTGCAGACCCAAACTGACTCTACTGTCAGGATTCTGAGAGGTCCTGTACCGTACTGCTGTGGTTAGCATTTGGAGTAAGGTGGACATGATAACAGTTTCCCTTTACAAGAGCGAACTATGTGATAAATGGAAATTCCCTGGGGAAAATTGATGCACAGAGAGATCTGGGTGTTCAGGTCCATTGTACCCTGAAGGTGGCAATGCAGGTCGATAGAGTGGTCAAGAAGGCATACAGCATGCTTTCATTCATCAGACGGGGTATTAAGTACAAGAGTTGGCAGGTCATGTTGCAGTTGTGTAGGACTTTGGTTCGACCACATTTGGAATACTGCGTACAGTTCTGGTCGCCACATTACCAAAAGGCTGTGGATGCTTTGGAGAGGGTGCAGAGGAGGTTCACCAGGATGTTGCCTGGTATGGAGGGCGCTAGCTATGAAGCGAGGTTGAGTAGATTAGGATTATTTACATTAGAAAGACAGAGGTTGAGGGGGGACCTGATTGAGGTCTACAAAATCATGAGAGATATAGATAGGGTGGATAGCAAGAAGCTTTTTCCCAGAGTGGGGGACTCAGTTACTCGGGGTCACAATTTCAAGGTGAGAGGGGAAAAGTTTAAGGGAGATATACGTGGAAAGTTCTTTACGCAGAGGGAGGTGGGTACTTGGAACGCGTTGCCAGCGGAGGTGGTAGAGACGGGCACGATAGCTCATTTAAGATGTATCTAGACAGATACATGAATGATACAGATCCTTGGAAAATAGGTGACAGGTTTAGATAGAGGATCTGGATCAGTGCAGGCTTGGAGGGCCGAAGGGCCTGTTCCTGTGCTGTAATTTTCTTTGTTCTTTGTTCTTACTCCAGCCTCTGTCCTCTAGTAATCTTGGTGCATTTCCAATGGCTGGGACCTGTGTCTATAGGTCATCAGAGGCCCAGACATACCCAGAGGGTTTGGAGCAAAGATTTAGCCAGCTGAATATCATCCATCTCCTTCAGTAAAGACTTTGGATGAAATTTTATAAGGCCCTACTCAATGTGAGAAATCTGGGGGGATCTCGTGAGAAGTCGGACAAGGCCTTTTCTGCCATCAAAGTATTCATTCCATTTCTGAGCAGAATTCTGGGTTTTGAGATGGGATTCTCGTTCAGGAGCACATAGGATTATTGCTGGCTAATGGACTAATTAGTTGTAAATCTCACCTCATTAACATCCAGCTTCCAATCCCACTGCCTACTGCTATTGAACCAGATAGTGATAATTCCCAAACGGAGGTTTGACTGGATATCTGGAGACTGCATAGAGTCATAGAGTCATAGAGTCATACCGCATGGAAACAGACCCTTCAGACCAACCAGTCCATAATCCCAAACTAAACTAATCCCACCTGTCTGCTCCTGGCCCTTATCCCTCCAAACCTTTCCCATTCATAGATCCATCCAAATGTCTTTTACACATTTTAATTGTACCGTATCCACCACTTCATCAAGAAGTTTATTCCACACGTGAACCTCGCACTGTGTAAAAAAATTGCCTCTTATGTCTTGTTTAAATCTCTCTTCCCTCATCTTAAAAATGTGTCCCCTATTCTTGAAATTTCCTATCTTAGGCAAAAGACAACTACTATCAACTATATCTATACCTGTCATTATTTTATAAACTTCTACAAGTCGCCTTTCAACGCTCCAGTTAAAAAAAAGTCCCAGCCTATCCAGCCTCTCCTTATAACTCAAACTGTCCAAAGCCAGCAACATCCTGGTAAATCTCTTCTGGGCTCCCTCCAGCTTGATAATATCCTTCCTATGACTGGGCAACTAAAAGTGGACCCAGTATTCCAGAAGAGGCCTCACCAATGTCCTGTACATTCTCAGCATAACATCTGAATTCCTGTACTCAAAGGACTGAGCAATGAAGGCAAGCCCACTAAATGCCTTTTTAACCGCCCTGTCTATATGTGATGCAAACTTCTAAGAATTATGTACCTGAACCCCTAGGTCCCTCTGTTCTACAAGACTAACCAGGGATGTACCATTCATTGTATAAGCCCTGCCCTCGTTTCTTGTACCAAAATGCAATACCTCACATTTATCCAGATTGAGTTCCATCTGCCATTTCTCAGCCCATTGACCCATTTGATCAAGATCCCTTTGTAATCTTAGAAAGTCTTATTTACTGCCCACAATGCCACCAATTTTGGTGTCATCCACAAACGTACTAACTGTGCCTTCTATACTCTCCTCCAAATCATTGATATAAATGACAAAAAGCAGTGGACCCAGCACCGATCCCTGTGGAACACCGCTGATCACAGGCCTCCAGTCTGAATCACAACCCTCCACTGTTACTCTCTGCCTCCTGCTGTTAAGCCAATTATGTATCCAATTGGCAAGCTCACCCTGAATCCCATGTGATCTAACTTTACTATTTAGTCTACCATGCGAAACCTTGTTAAAGGCTCTACTAAAATCCAAATAAACAACGTCTACTGCTCTGCCATCATCAACCTTTTTGGTAACTTCCTCAAAAATTAATCAAGTTTGTGAGACATGATTTCCAATGCACAATACCATACTGACTATCCCTAATCAATGTTTGCCTCTCTAAACGCCCATAAATCCTTTCTATGACAATTACCTCCAACAATTTACCCACAACCGAAGTTAGACTCACAGGTCTATAGTTCCCCGGTTTCTCCGAACAAACTTTCTTAAACAATGGTACAACATTAGCCACTCTCCAGTCATTAGGCACCTCACCCATAGTTATAGATGATGCAAATATTTCTGTAAGGAGTTTAGTAATTTCCTCCCTTACTTCCCACAACATTCTGGGATACATTAGATCAGATCCATTTATCCACGTTTTTATTCTCTAAGACCTTGCTTCTTCAGCCTCTGTTTTGGACACCCAGCACATTCTGTGGACACTGGTACAGGCCTCTCACCCCACCTCCCCTCCACCCCCGCAGTCCATGGTCGGTTGGCATTCAACATGGGGGTCAGCCTCCTTTGCATGATCATTTCACCTCTTCCATCAACTCACACAATGCGTACCTTAAAGCTGTACCTTGGGGTACACTCGTAACTGTCATCACACTCCAACCTCAAGGGCAGTTTAGGCTCAGGACCATGCATCCAGCTCATGGGTTGGACTGAGCAGCATCCCCTGAGGGTTGAGATAAGTTGTAACTCCTTGCCACAGACGGCTGTAGGGGCAGCGTCCTTGTCTATGTTTAGGTTTGAGATAAGTAGATTCTTGATCAGTTCTGAGGAAGGGTCACCGGACCTGAAGCATTAGCATTGATTTTTCTTCACAAATGCTGCCAGACCTCCTGAGCTTTTCCACCAACTTCTGTTTTTGTTCCTCATTTACAGCATCCGTCAATACTTTCGGTTTTTGTTTAGTATCCGCTCATTCACTTGTCTGTTGGTGAACTCGTGATTGTAGAACAGGATTAGAGAAAGTTTAGGACACATTAAGCCAATCCCTCTTTCCAGCATTTAGTCCGCAGCCCTGCGGTTGTGGTTAAGCATTGTCAAGTACATCTGGTGATGTGCATCAAGCCATGGGTCCGTTTGGAGTGTTTGAAGCAGCTGTTGATGAGTTGCAGGCTGTTGATCTGGAATGCAGTGTATAGCTAATGTCAGTGCAACATTCCAAAGTAGTGCTTCATTGAAACACCTTCCACTTTTCTGCAGAAAACCGGAAACTAGCATCCATCATTGGAGAGATCATGATGTACTTTCTGAATGTTGTGCTGACCCTGTGGCTGTTTGCGGAGATGCTTTACTGCTACAAGAAAATTGCAGCCGCTGGAGAAGAAGCTATTCAGGAAAATGCGTGAGTATCAAACATGAGGACAAAGTTGAGGCTAAATGGGGGCAGATTCAAGCTTTTTGATTGATGTGGCAGTCAGACGCTCTTTACAATACATTTTTCTAGAATTCCCAATGAAATTTGACGTTCAAAGATGTGACAAACAAACTTTAAGGAAAGATATAATTTCATTAGAGGCAGTTCAGAGATGGTTCATGAGGATTATCTCTGGGATGGAGGGATTGTCTGATGAGCAAAGGCTAAACAGGGTTGGGAAAGATTTCATACAGGATTCTTAAGGGGCTTGACAGGGTCAATGCTGAAAGGATGCTTCCCTTCATGGGAGAGTCTAGGACCAGAGGGCATAGCCTCAGTATAATCGGGTACCAATCAGGTACAGAGATGAGGAGGAACGTCTTCTCTGAGGGTTGAAAGTCTTTGTAACTCCTTCCCACATTCACCTGTGGGGGCAGAGTCCTTGTATATATTTAAGGCTGAGATAGATTCTTGATCAGTCGGGGAATCAACGGTTATGGAGAATCTGTTTAGCCTTTGCTCATAAGCCAATCCCTCCATTCTGGGGTTCATCCTAGTGAACCTCCTCTGAACTTCCTGCGGTGAAATGTTATCTATCCTTAAATAAGGAGTCAAAAACTGCTCAAAGTATTCCAGATGTGGTCTTACCTGCACCTTGTGAAGTTACAGTAAGACTTCCCTACTCTTATACTCCAACCCCTTGATATAACGGCAGCGTTTCATTAGCCTTCCTGATTACTTGCAGCAACTACCTGATAGAGGTGTTTATGATTATTAAACAATCCAATGAGTTTAGCAGAGAGAAACTATTTCCTCTGGTGGGAGAGTTCAAGAGAAGGGGAACGGATGTTGTCAGAAAACAAGGGAGTGGAAACTAAAATATTGTCCACCAGTACACTCGTGGCTCATTAGGACTGAGATTTAGGTATTTCTTTTAAAATTCATTCACGTGATAAGGGCATGGCTAGTTAGTCCAACATTTATTGCTGAGTGTTTGATCTTTCACTCACTAGCTGTGTGAAATTGCAATTTTCAGCATACAAGCTGAACATGAAAGAAACAGATCGAATTCTAGAGAACGTAGGAGTGTCAGAGTGTGGGGAGAGTGAGGGAGTGAGGCATTGAGATAACATATCAGCCATGATCGTGTTGAATGATGGACTGAATGGCCTTCTCCTGCTCCCAATTCTTCTGAGTCTATGGAGAGAGTGCAGCTGAAGGAACTACCATTGTGGGGAAGATGCTTAAATAGATTCTGGAGATTGCTCAAATTGTAACGCTTGCCTGAATGGAAAACATGTTTAGAGAGCAAGGTTTTAAAGCAATGAAGCCAAAAGACATGGCCCTAAATGTCTGGATCAGGAATAGGCCATTCAGCCCCTTTAGCATCCTGTGCCATTCAATAAGTTCTGATTTGGTTACAGCCTCAACTTCAAATTCTTGCGTGCCCCAGATAACAAATGACTCCCTCATTTGTGAAGAATTGAACTTTCTTGACCTTAAGAATATTTAAATGGCACAGCCACCATCACGATCTGGAGATGAGAATTTCACAGATGTGCAACCCTTGGAGAAAGAAAATTCTTCCTCATCTTTATCTGAAATGGGATTAGGGTTAAGGTTTTAAATGGTGTTCTCTGGTTCTAGTCTCTCCCACAAGGGTGAGCATCCCCTCAGCGTTCACCTTGCACCCTCTCATTCTCCTGAACTTCAGTAGATACAGTCCCCAACCTGCTCAACCTTCCCTCAAAAGACAAAGCCCTTTTTTGATTAATTATAACTAAATGTTGTGTGACATTCTGCTCTCTTCCACAGATCGGACTACTTGGCAATTACATCAGAAAGCAAAGAGAACTGTACAGGGGTACAAGTGGAGGAGTAGCATCTGTCAATCAGCATGACATCCACAGAGTATTTTTAAACATAGGTATGTGCAGACAAAATGTCTTCAATCCAGTTTCTCTGTATAATAGAAGAATTAACTTCTAAATCCTTCTCACACTTTCACAGGACATCCTAAATTTGCTTCAGTTCAGAATATTTTCTCAAGTTTAGTTGCTGCTCTCCTGTGGGCCAATTTGCTCACAATGTAGTCACAGAAATAAATTAGAATTAGAATTAGCTTTTATTGTTATGTGTACTCAAGTACAAAAGTACAGGAGTACAGTGAAAAATCTACAATGTCTCAACACATGGTACAAAGTACCTGATTACAAATCTGAAGGTAATAAAATAGATTTGGTACAAAAATAGAGAAATAAAGAAAAAGGCAGAAGTTCTATGTTACAGTTCTTCACAATATAAATTAGGAAAATAAAGAAATAAAGTTAAAAGATAAACATTACAGTCCTTCCTCAGACTGCAGTTGCTTCAAGCTGGGAGTTTTCCACATGGGGCCTCATTCTCCCCTGCTCTGGGCTGATCTCAGCCAGGCTTGTAAGCCGCTGACCATTATCTGTGACCCCAGTCCGCTGACTGCTCCACTTCACTCCGGGCCCACTGAACGCTGGCCGTCTGCTCTGCAACGGCTCACCAACCACCGACCGTCCCACTCTGCTCTGGGCTCCTGACTGCCCCACACCGGCCCTGCTGATCACTGGCTGTCTGCTCTGTTCCAGGCCCACAGACCGTTGGCCATCTACTCTTCACCAGCCCATTGACTGCTAACTGTCCCGCTCTGCTCCAGCCTGCTGACCCCTGACCGTCCCGCTCTGCTCCAGCCCGCTGATCACTGACCGTCCCGCTCTGCTCCAGCCCGCTGACCCCTGACCATCCCGC